CAGGACAGATTGACACTTCAGTAACAGTAGGTGGAGTCTTTATTATTCCACTTCCGATTAGACATCTACTAGACTCTGCAGCAGGTAACATGACTGAAATAGAACCCTCTCCTAAAACTTGCTGCCTCTTCGGTCTCTATCTCTACAAGTAGCACCTGCATCCACTTAATTGCTCAAGCAAAAATCCTTAAAGTCACTTCTTTTTTTCTACACACACCACTGAAGTCACTTTCCCTTGAACCCCACATCCAATCAATCAGCGAATTCTATAACGCCTCCCTTCAAAATATATCCAGAACCCAGTTCTTCACACTTTCCTTCACACTCTGATCCAGAACACCACCATCTCTCACAGGAATTACTGAACAGCCTCCTAATTGGAGTCCCTCACTCCACCCTGGTCCTTTGTTGCTAGCACCATACGGTAGCCAAGTAAACCTTATAAAACAAATTAAACCAGGTCACTCCTCAACCTTCAACTTACTCTGTCCAGTAAACTTTTAATTAAATCCAAAACCTAACCTGCTCCCTTTGAGTTTTCTTCCTACTCCCTTAGTCACCCTACTGTCATCACACTGGCCTCTTTGCTGTTTCCAGCAAGATATGTCAAATTTATAATATAAACCTATTGTTCTTAAAAAATCACAAATGTGCATTAAAAAGTGAGAAAAGATAGCCCAAAATATGAATAATAATTACCTATGAGTAGCAGAATTGTAGACAATTTAAGATTTTTCCTATTGCAAAAAAATTACTTCTAATTCGTGTGTTACTTACATCATAAAAATAGATGAAAAAAGCCTCTTACACCCAGTGTGGTAATAGTATTTAACTACTTTCAAAATTTGGAAATAAACCATACATATCACCAAAAAAACTCACGATTTAAAAAAATTGTTTATATTTATATATATTTCTCTCTATATATATCTACAGCATTTACTAACATATTATTAGTAAACACTATGTAGCTAGCATTACTAAGATATGCTCCAGGTACTTTCACGCTATTTCATTTGATTGTCATAATCTATGCAATGAGAACTACTACCCATGTTACGGGGTAGTAAAAAGAGGCTTAAAAAAAAAGTTAAATAAATCGGTCGAGATTGCACAGTAAGTAGAAAGCCCAGGTCTATCTGATCTGAATGTTCATGTTCTAAATACTAATCCAGCTATTGCCTCCTCATACAGTAGTTATGCACAAAAGTGCAAATCTGAAAACAACCTAGATATCCAGTCACATGGGAGAGGGACAGGTGTAGTTATAAAAGTGTTTATTGAAACTAGAATTTTGCAAGAATTGAGAGACATGTTAAATAAAAAGGCAAACGATCACACAATCTACACATGAGCGAGGATTGCCTGAGCCCAGGGGTTCCAGACCAGCCTGGGCAACTTGGCAAGACCTCATCTCTACAATAAATCAAAAAAGTAGCAGGGTGTGGTAGCGTGCGCCTGTAGCTACTTGGAAGGTTGAGGCGGAAGGATCGCCGGAGCCCAGCAGGTCGAGGCCGCGGTGGCCATGAGCGTGCCACTGCACTCCAGCCTGGGCGACAGAGTGAGACTCCAACTAAAAAAAAAAAAAGGAAAAACGCCAAAATGAGCCAATGTGTTGGAGTTGGTCAAGTGTGAGTAGTATAACTCTTAAGTGGTTTTTGTTCCTTATTTTTGATTTTCATAAATGCACCAAAATTCTTCAAAACCAAAAAAAACACCAAATTACATTTCCATAAAATAAACAGATCCTGAAGTATTATCCGAAAAGCGATCTACATTCTTTTAGTCGACATCTGGCGCCTCTAAGGGACCAACAGTTTTCTTCCAAGGACTTGATGATGATCTCTATTTTTGTAGCCCACATCATGAGCCTATTAAGGGCTTACTGGGATGACGATGGCAGTGCAGTTTAGAAGTCCAAACGTAATCCGTTTCCAAAGTAGGAACACAATTCAAAAGGATCTTCACACCATTTCTGGAAAGTGTACCTTGTCAGGAATCAATACTCAGAAGCAAGCAAGCAAGCAAAAAGGCAGAAGAAGGTCGAAGCGTTCACAAACGCATGCTTGTCCCCGGCAAACTTTCTGGGCGGCGGTCTCCAGGGAGGCAGGGCCGACCTCCGCCCTCCCGCACGCGGCTTCCGTGGGGCCCCACACAGCGAGCCCGGGCAGCGGGGCGCGGCCACACAGAGTCCGGGCCACGGCCCTCGCACCCGCCCACCCCTGCGGCGGCCCCGCGGCTCCGCAAAACTCACTGGATGGCGGCAAGAGCGCCGCCGCCGGCAGGGACTGAGAAGAGCCGGCTTGAGGCTTGGGTATCCGGGGAGGAGACGCGCTGGCTGGACCGTGGGGCGCGCGGGCACAGGCCGGAAGAAGCCGTGGATGCTCAG